GTCTCTTTCTATTGGAGAAGGTCTCAATATCGTGTATAGACTCCATAAAAGGAAAGAGCTGTTGTGAAAACTCCTTTATTGCTCCTAGTGTGAACACGTCCAAACAAGGAAAGTGTAAGTGTGAAAGGATCCGCCTGATCCTATGGGTGCTGGTGCATGGAAAGACTTCTTAAAGATTTTTAAGAGTGTCTCCTGGTAGCCAATAATAGTTTTGGGATGAACCAAATATGGAAAGATCCATTTTTGGTAACATATAGACCGTGGGTAAGGCCAAATATGGGCAACTCCTAAACCAACTCGAACCAAGGGTGATGTGGCTCGATCAATATGCTCTAAATGGTTGATTTGCTGAATAATAATGAATCCAAGATTAAACTGACGAGTGGATTCTCTAAATTGCAACTTAGCTTGCTCACGAACATGTCTCAGAAAGCTCACATGACAATCTCTTGAATTACTCCTATGATGGGTAAATATCTCTCGATTATTCTTTATAAAATAGTCATGTTGCTCATGAATCTTAAAGACCACATCAAATTGACGGATGGTTTGATACTTTGACTTTGACATGTGGTTCCATGAGCTTGATCGTGGTATGGTTGGAAAGAAGCTTCATGAACCATCTTTACTTTTGGACGTCTTTATTTGTTTCCGATGGGTCTTAATAAAATATCCATGATATCGGTGATTGAATCTAAAATATAGTTCGAGGAAACGTGACGTTGGGTTGATGGTATTGAAGTCGTCTCGATCCGGATGGTTTTTTTTGGCGTTTAGATTGATTGGCTCAGTAGTTTTCGATTATGTCTCAACCAAAAGTCTTTAAATATGTGACTTTCTGGTGAATCTTCAATTTGGGTCGGCAATAGTCTCCATTGGGTCGTTGGATTGGAGCTTGGTGTGATCCGGGTGAGTTTTCGTGGACCAACTTCGATTTGGTATGGTGATTTATAATTCCAGCTGAACCATTAGTCTTCTTAGAATGTATTTCTATGGAAATATCAAATCCTAAGCCAGTTTCTTCTCATGTGTTAGAGTTGAGTTATTAAATTTTTTAGTTTTTGTTTGTTTTTATTTAATTTTAACTTTTATATATTTATTGAAACATACAGAAAATTATAGCTTTATATATTTAGGAGTGTACTGTGTAGAGCTCATTAATATTTACTTTTATTTAATAGAGTATCATTTTTAATCTTTTATTTATTAAATTTATAAAAAATGTTTATATTATTAATACTTTATATTTAATTTATTTTTAATAACATATACTGCAAATAATACATCATAAATGTTACCCGTCATTTTTTTTTTAAGAAAAATATTTACTGTAATCGTACCATATAATTTTTACTGTAAATTACATCAAATTTTAACATCTACTGCAACAATCACTTTTTAAAAAACTGCAACATTCTCTAATTAAAACATGTACAAGAAATCTGATATATCAACACCAGAAATTTTCCATTATTTTTACTTTATGATTTACTTTGGAAAGACAGTTTTCTCAACCTATCCACTCCACGATCTTTTCATATTCTAATTAATAACTTCCACAATTTTATCAGAAAAAATAACAACATTTCACAATTTCTCTCTAGCTCCACTCTCTTTTGCAAGTCGTTTAGCAATTTAATTTATAGTCATTTCGCAAGTCATGTAGTAACTTCAGTTACAATTTAGGGTTTCTTAAAAAAACTTTATTTATTTATTTATTTCATGTAGTATAAGGCCATATTTATCGGGGGAACCTATGGGCTGTTCTTAGAGTAAACAAATAATAAAAATTGGGTTTAGAAAGTTAAGAACAGGTGAAGTGGTCTTGGGCTAGATCAGTTTTAAGCCCGTTCTCGCGGTGACGTGTCAGGCTGGGATTGGGTACCAAATTTGATATCGGAAATCTTTTCTCATTTGGGCGAAAATCGTTTCTAATCTAGGGTTTGTGTCTCGAAACATCTTCGTCGGCGATTTTGTCCGCCTTTGATACTTCGCCGATTTCGGGCCGATTTCCGGCAAAATCGGAGCCAAATCTTCACCCTGCTTCGTTATTTGCTATCTCGTGTCATTTACCTTTCATTTTAGTTCTTCTTTTTGCCGATACAAAGAAACAGAGAGAAAAGAAGAAAATGGCGGCGAATGGAGGAGCTACGGCGGCTGGTCAGCCATCTGCAGACTCCGGAGGCACATGCTGCTGCTTGGAACATCTTGAAGGTGAGAATTTCAGTCTTAGAATTCTCTGATTTGATTTATTTCATATCGATGCTCAGACATCAGACCCTGTTGTTATTTTTATGCCAGAAGTATGTATTCCAAACATGTATTCATAAATCTATCAATGGAGTCCATTCATTCTCTCACTGTTGTTGATATTACCACAGGGCTCAAGAACACATATGGGAAGCACAATGAGACTTGGATCCCGAAGAACACATTTACAGAACCGAGACTCTCTCACTTCAAAGCTGTAAGTTTAAAAATTGCATTTATCTTTGCCGTTTCCTTGAGAATCCTTGTAGTTTTCAGTTCACGGTTTTAAAGACAGCAAGTTGTTTTCTCTCCGGGCATTTACCAGACAGCAATGACGTGAAAAAGGTGTCTTTCTTTTGATGATGTTAGGTGAATCCAGAAGTAGCTCAAGCACTTGAAGAAGCTGGTTTAAGATTTGTGGGTAAAGATGATACAGGGAAACGAGTTGAGGTATAGAAAATGAGATAAGAGAAAACACCATCTTAGTGTTGGTCTCTCTCTCTCTCTCTCTGTCAAAATCTTATTTGTTTGTTTCAACAGGTGATTGAGTTTCAAGATCATCCATTCTATGTTGGAGTTCAGTTTCATCCAGAATTTAAGTCAAGACCTACTAGACCTTCTCCTCTGTTTTTAGGCAAGTCTTGAGAAACACTTTGTCTCATATGGTCAAAGAGCTGTCTTGAAGTTTGCTCAGTACACTGGTGCTAATGCAATTGCTGGAAGACATACTCCTGGTACTTTCACTAACCAAATGCAGACTTCTTTCAGTGAGCCTAGGTTGTTGATTAAACTAACTACAAGTGTTTGTTTTGGTTGTGAGACATGTAGGTGAGGTAGCTCTGAAGTTTAAATCGGAGTAGCAACACCAACAACCATTTCCTGCCAACGATAAGGTAATTCCCTACTCAATATAGTTGTGATTAGCTGCTGAAGTATCTAGTAAACTGGAGTTCTTGTTCTTGTTCTTGTTTAGCTGCTGAAGTATCTTGTTCTTGTTCTTGTTCTCTTAACTTTCTAGTTGTAAACAGACTAGTAATGTCTGTTTAACTTTCTTGGTTGTAAACAGACTAGTAATGTCTGTTTAACTTTCTAGTTGTGGAAAGTTATAATAAATACTGATCTGACCTTGGTAGTTCAAGGTTAGCTCTCATTATGAGTTTGCTACTTTAAAGCTTTTTTGGTTTGAAAGTGTCTTTATACCTGATTTGATTGTGGTAGGTAATGATACTTTAAGACTAATAACTAGTTTAACTTGCCTCTATTAAACCAGAGGTTTGTTAAATTCATTATCTCCTCTTTGAATCTCTCCTTTTACCTAAGCTTTTACTTCTCTTCCTTCTATTAAGTTGTCGGATATGGGTTCAAATAACCATCCAAATAACCATCCAAATAACCAGTGTCAATCTCAACCATACTATAGTCTCCAAAACTTCCCTTACGGCAATTTTTCTTCCAATGCAAACATTTCCTTCTCTCAAATCCCTTCTTTTAGTTCACAACCGAGCTCACCACCAGTTCAAGCTGCAAGTCAACCAGAAAAGACACCAAGGGAGAGAAGGCTTTGGACCAGCAAGGATGATCTTGTTCTTATAAGCGGCTGGTTATACACATCAAAGGATGTGATAATTGGGAATGACCAAAGGTCAGGTGCCTTTTGGAAGCGCATAGGAGAGTATTATGCTTCTAGTACTCATGTACTAAATGGGGCTGAGCCAAGGCTCCCTGACCACTGTAGGCAAAGATGGCAAAAAATCCATAGGTATGTCGCTAGGTTTTGTGGAGCTTATGCTGAAGCAGTGAGTGAGAAAGCCAGTGGCATGAATGACTTGGACATTCTCAAGAATGCTCACCAGATATACGCTATCAAGTACAAGAAGAAGTTCAGTTTGGAGTATGCATGGAATGACCTTCGCTACGAACAGAAATGGATTAACCTAGAGCCTATGAACCCTACTTCAAAGACAACCAGCTCTAACAAAAGAAAAGCCAATGATGCTGCACCATCTTCCGGATCAAATGTTGGTGAGCAAGAGAGTAGGCCTCCTGGTATAAAGGCAATGAAAGCCAAGAGGAACAAAGGTAAAGACAAGGTAGGACCAGCTTTGGCGTCTGATAACATGTGGGAGAAGAAAGAGAAGGATATGCTGATGAGGGAAAAACTCCAAAAGATGTCTGTTTACAACACTCTCCTTGCCAAGAATGACACACTGGATGAAGATGAAAAAGTCCTTAAGAAGAAGCTAATGTTTGAGCTGTTTTAATTTAGGCAAAACTTAGTTAATTTACCTTTGTATTGATGTCTGTTTTAACTATGTTTGTCTGAGATGTTTCTGTTAGGTAAGTTTTAATGGCTGTGATGGTTCTGTTTTAACTACCTTTGTATTGATCTCTGTCTTTATTTCCAGTTTCTGATTTGCTTGCAAACTTCTCTCTGTGTTGTTGGTTTCAGGTTGAAGAAGACATGGGACTTGACTCTATGTATTTAAGCTTTACTTTGTATTGATGTAATCGAGTATGTAATGTAAAAAAAGTCAGATGTCATGTTGAATCAATACCCGAGAGTCACATGTGTTTGGATTGTAGTATTAAAGCAAGAGTCACATGTGTTTGGATTACTTTCTTTAAAGCAAGAGTCACATGTGTTTGGATTGTAGAATTAAAGCAAGAGACACATAGATTACTTTCTATAAATATGTGATTCATACCGATGTTTCTCTCATCAAAATCAAACTTCCTATAACTCTCTCAAACTTCCTTCTCTAATATTTTCTCATCTTCGTATTCGGTTCCGTTTTTATGGCTTCTTCTTCCAATCATTTTGACTTTCATCATGGATCTAATAATGATGATGATTTTTTTGACCAATATTGTGACGAACAATTTGATAATCTATGTGATGCTACTGAAGAGGTTATTCCGACCGAAAGGAAGAAGCGTACTTATATAGAAAGAAATCGGGAAGACGGGCACAAACAGTTGTGGGAGGATTATTTCTGTGATAATCCGACTTACACGGAGAACCTATTTCGCAGACGGTTTCGCATGAACAAGGCATTGTTCCTGCGTATTGTAAATCGTCTCGCAGCCGAAGTGCCATATTTTAAACCAAAAAAAGATGCCACCTTCCGGAATGGTATATCACCGCTACAACAATGTACTGCAGCAATTCGACAATTAGCATATGGGGCTGCGGCGGACTCGATTGACGAATATGTACGTATTGGTGAAACGACGGCACGTCAATGTTTGGAACATTTCGTCGTCGCAATAGTTGATTTGTTTGGCAATGAATACCTACGCCGACCCACACAAGAGGATCTTGAAAGACTACTCTTTTATGGAGAACAACGGGGTTTTCCCGGGATGGTTGGAAGCATCGACTGCATGCATTGGAAGTGGAAGAATTGTCCAACCGCTTGGAAAGGAATGTATTCACGAGGGACCGATAAACCAACAATTGTTTTGGAGGCGGTAGCTTCTCCTGATCTTTGGATATGGCACGCGTTTTTTGGAGCGCCAGGTACTTCTAACGATTTAAATGTTCTTGATCAATCACCAGTATTTAATGACATTATTTACGGTCGAGCACCCAAAATGAACTACTATGTCAACGGAAGGGAGTATAATTTGTCATACTATCTGACGGATGGTATTTATCCCGAATGGGCGACTTTTGTTAAATCCATCCCACAGCCTCAACACCCGAAACATTCCTTGTTTGCACAACGTCAAGAAGGTGCACGAAAAGATGTTGAGCGTGCTTTTGGAGTCCTACAAGCTAGATTCGCCATGATTAAAAATCCATGTCGGTTTTTGTCTAAAGGCAAAATAGCATATATTATGAGAGCATGTCTCATACTCCATAATATGATTGTCGAAAATGAACGCCATTCATACACTCTCTATGACGAAGAAGAATTCGAAAAAGACGATATTCATACGTTTTCAGTCGAGATGCCTACAAATCTCCAAGGTCTAGGTGATGGTCACACAAGAATTCGTGATAGACAAGCACATCGCCAATTAAGAGAGGATTTGATTGAGAATATATGGAATAAATTTGGACATCTTCCAAATAATTAATAAGTTTTTTTTAACTTTGTATTAATTAAATAAAATGTTTGTAACCTTTAATTAATATGTTTTTTTAATAATTATTTGGAATTGTATTTTGTGTTTCTTTTTATTTTCAAATCAATATTAATATAAGTTTACTTTTTAATGTTTTCTATTTTAAAACTAAATTTTTAATTTTAATATACTTTAAAATGTTTTGATTATTAAATTATTAATTCATATGATCTAAACATGTTCTACCAATAATCAATTAATTTACAAAAGATCTTAATTAAAGCTCTTATAATATTTTAATATTTTTCCTCCCTTAAGATCAATCTTCAAAGATGCACCCTTGCATATGCTCTAAATGTTTCTATGGAATTAATTTCTAAGATGGGTATGAAATTCCGCAGTCAATATCTTATTTGCGTAATTTGTGTGCTCTCACAACCAAGATAACAATGACATAAATTTGTTACACTGCCATCTTCTTATTATCAAATACCAACTCCGTAATTTATTGACCAAATAAAACTCCTTAACTTTTTCCATTATTTATACTTTCCATTGCTCAAAACTAAATTAAAACATGTTGTAATTAATATATGAGTTTGCCTCTGCATAGGAAGGGTCACAACGCTAGTAAGTAGTAAGAGACAAGTGGGTGTGTGAGTCGAAGGAAGTGTCCGATTATTGCCTGACGCCTTTAAAAAGGAAGAAGAAAAAAGTATCAACGTATTAAAAAGAGAAAAACGTATTTTCATTCATTAATGTATGGGTTTGTTTCGGAAATCAGATATGAGATTTGGGTTGAGAAGGCCCAACTGAAGCCCATAAATGAGTCCGATAAGGGCATATACTTATATCGCCTGGATCCCAACAAAAACCCATCACCATTCACGACGACGGCGAGGAGGAGGAGAAAATGGCGACGGATGAGGAGTTTTTCAGATTGCAGAGAGAATATTGGCGTCAAGTCGCGGAATCGGATGTAATTCTTTCATCTTCTTAATTACTGTTTAGAGAATTTATCTATAATTGTGATTTTTTGGATTGTTTGTGTTTCACGAAATTAAACGTTTCTAGGGTTGGTTATGAACTGATAGAAATTTTTTGCTGATGGGTCGGTCTTAGGGTTTCGATATAGAGAATGTTAGAGTACCGGATTCTATGGTTGGAAAGATTGCTGGACTGATTCCCCACGACTGTCTGCGTTATAGGCGTTTTCCGTACGGTGTCTTGGTCAAGCATTATGCTATTGTTGGGCTTCATCGTTACAATATGTTGAAGGTAACGAGATCTTGTCTCCTCTGGTTGGTGCTTTGTTACAACATGATGCTTTGTTATACCACATTCATTCATTTTCCTTTGTTTATCTATCAGGGGACTAACTTCCAGTTCGGTCGCCTAATGAAATTCAACATGTTACAGAACTGTGTGTCCTCTTTCTACATGACTTTGGAAGCATTTGATCACTTTGTTTCTGGCCGATTTCCTAAAACCTTTCAGATTCGAATTGATGAAAAAACATATGGCAGTTTGGATTTGACGGTCTCCATTGCTAGAACTACAGATGAAGGTGACTTATTGTTCTTTTTTTTTTCTCTATAAAAGTCGATTCGAGTATAAACTCACTTGCTGATTAATAATGTTCCACAGTGACCACCAAGAAGCCCTTCATACCTCACTATTATGGTGGGGCAGTGGCGGATGGTATCATCTTCGAAGGTGAATTGCCTGATTGGCCCTCAGATGATGATTTGAAACACAGAAAACGATTCTACGTGGTAAGATTATATATTAAGACACAACAGTTATTTAAGTTTTGTTGTGCTAGCAGTCGTGATATGTTATTATTGCTTTTGCAGGTGAAGGAATCAGAGTGGCGAGACACTGCTTGGATTTTCATGTATTTGGAACTTGTACTTTGTGCACATGATAGGTCCATCACTGATGTAAGTTTTGCATATCAATTAATGACATACCATGATTGGCACTGTTGGTAATAATAATTATTAACACCAAAACTGTTGTTGTTGCTGCTGCAGGCTGATCTGGCCCGGTTGAAGATTGTGAAAGTGGCGATAGAAACTAGTATCGAAGATGCGCTGCCGAATGAAAGACTCAAGGCCAAAAGTGCAAATGTCTACATATTGTTTAAGGGCTTGGAAGAGCCTCGAGTCCCTCAACAGGTTTTTGTCACTGGTATGGATGTTGAACGCAAAGCAATAATTAGAAGAGTCATGGATGATGCAGGATACTTAACTCTCGTGGGTAAGCTTTGTGGTGGTGTTAAAAAGGTCCGCCGGTTTAATTAGTTCAGAAACCACTTTTCAAAGAACATAAGATCGTTTTCTGTCAAAATACTGCAAAAGGGAGAAGTCGAATGTTATCTCTTTGGTGGGATTTGGAAAGACAGTTTTAGAGTATTGATGGACCCATAAGTTGTTGTTATGCTACATAAGATTAATGAACCCTTGAGTAAATTGGTTGATAATTCTTTTTGTTGCATAATCACACGTTTATCTTAATTAATAATTATATTATTATCTTTTGAATTATATTCATTATCAAAGCATAATTATTCGGTGTACTTTCCAAGATAAGTAAGTATATGGTTGATAGTTGATACTGTATACTTGAATGTAGTTATCATACTTTTAACTTTTTAGAAATGAGTTTAATCATTTATGTATATGTAAAATGTTCCTTGATACATTAATTTACGAGTTTTTGACCTGTTGTCAATCTATACACTTGTAAGTGGTAATCCAAAAGACCGTTTTATGACCTGTCGTCACATTCATAAAACGTTCACTAATTAGCTCAATTCATTAATTAGCTTTCACGAGAAACTGATGATTATGCTAAGAACTTCCGATTTCAAATGTAACCAATAACCATGGTATTTTACTTACCCATGGGCTCTATCTTTTACATGAACTAATTTAAGCTTCTTTTTGTTTATGAGATAGTATTATACTAATATGTTTATGTTAATTTCAACTCCTGGGTGAATGGTGCTAGCTTGGCCATAAGATGAATTTGTAATATCCCCTATATATTAATCAGGAAATACTCTACAAAAAAAACTTTATTTTCACATGTTATCAACGAAGTTACCATGATGACATGTCGCTCTTAAAGAGATTGTTCACCTAATCTTTACTAAAATATTTACAGATTTTGTCTATATATATACATATATATATATATATATATATATATATATATATATATATATCTCACAAAAAAATAAAAATAAATAAATATAGCAAAGTAAACTATTCACAAAAATTGCATATGATTGTATTTTATTTAAGTTAGAAATAAATTGTCGTTTTCAATCATTTTACTGATAAAACGAATTTATACAAAACATCATTGATTTGAATCGAATAAAAATATATATCAAATGTTTCATAATATTTCAGATTTTGGATCATAATACAATGCATTTGTAATTAAAACTATAATATATTTACTTAATAATCATTTAACCCCATGCATAGTGCATGTAAACTACCTAGTTAGTTTTAAATGTCAAGTAATTCTACATGTTATTATGTTAAATAATAAAAATTTAATTTTTTTTATTATATGGATGATATGATGATTTATTTGTTTCACAAAAATAGAATCATATGAAGATGGGAGGTGAAGTATAATGATTACTAACAAATTAATATGGTAAGTTAGATATCGAATCTTATATGTTCATTTTGATTGGTCATTCATTTTTTAAAAAATTAATAATGTATTTTTCGTTTTATAATTTAATTAAATTAATTAAATTTCAAAAATTAGTATTTTACTTGTTTATCTTTTATGAGATGAATTATTTCTTTTTGAAATTTTATCACCAATGACATTCTTATGTAATTACTTATAAATGGTAAGCTTACTTTCAATTATGTACCCCCAAATAATAATATAAAACTAGGATATGACCCGCGGTATACCGCGGGATAATTAGTTATTTATTATTTTTTGTTATAAACTTATGATGTTACTGTATTAATTTTTTTTTGTTTTATTGGTCTAAACTTAGGTGAACCGTATGTCGATTTTTTTTATAACTAAAAATTTTAAATTTTAAGTTATATTTTTTTGTTAATATTATTTGTTTTGTTTAGTGTTTAATATTATATAATTGTATTTTTGTTAGTTAATTCTACGATTTCACCCGTGGTATATCGTTCCGTATTATTATCGACCCAAACCCGTCCCACCATATAAACATGTCACGTGAAATTAAACATTAATTCTTTTTAAAAGACATATAATTCGAGTCAATTGAAATTTTTTATTTTAAATGGTTCCCATAATATATTTATTTTTAATTTTTATAGAGTTCAAATATTACTAATATTATAAACTTTTTACAGAATTTAAATATTATAAATAATTCAAACCGTTTATAAAGTTTAAATATTTATAATGTTTAAACTTCTTATCAAGTTAAAATATTTATAATAATTAAAATTCTTATAAATTTAAAATATTGATAATATTTAAGCTAAATATATGTTAAAAATATATTTTATTTTTTATATTTACAATTTAGATTAGTGATATATATATATTTAAGATATTTAAAATAACCCGTTGAAAAAAGATATTTAAAAACATTAATATGTTATGCCAATTCTAATATAAAATGTAAAATAAGTTGAAAGAATAGATCTATATTAATGAAAAATCAGAAATGCATATAATCACCTTAAGAGTAAGAATTCTTGACAGTATTTTCATCTCTAAATGCCTGGAAAAGCAAAACATTGACTATATAACTTAATATAATTTGACTGATCAATTCGAACTCAGCAATTATCATAAGGCCGGTTAGAGTAAGCTTACTTTTGCATATTCTTGTAAATTCTGGAATTTGTGGATAGATAACTTGAGAACAATCTTGTAATCTTGAATCCAAAACAAATAAAAACAGAACTCGCTAAATATATATGTTAAAAAAAAAAGAAAAAAAGATGAAGAAGATTTATGCTAGCTAATTATAGTACCTTATCATAAACTAATTATAACTCGATTGCTTTATCGTGAACTCCCATTTGCTTCCAGATTCTCAAATTTTTACACGGATTTGCAAGTCTGATACGTGTGAATAAAGATCTGAAACATCAGTAAGGTAAACAAAATGAGAAGAAACAACAAAACTTTTATAAAATTTTAAAAACCTTTGCATGAAAGAAGATTAGAGGAATTGTGGAAATGTTCTTTAAGAAAACTAAATCAATTATAACGCTAAAAAAAGTGAATTAGTTAAGAGTTATGGATCACCTTGGCAGTATCTTAGTCTCTAAATAAAATGATAAATCTTTTCTAGAGGTTCAAAATTATATTGTGAATGATAAACAAAACAAAAAAGTAAAAAGGTTATTTCTGTTTTACCATGTACCTTTCGATATTTTAGCAAGGCTTGTAAAACCATCATTGGCAGCCAATTTGCTTTCAGAGTTAAACGATTTTATGAAGATTCCAAGTCTTGCTATGAGTTTTAATAAGCAAACGAATAATATATTTATAGAATATGTAAGTCGATTTCGGAATATGCTTCGAAATTCTGAGAATATTTTATTGTTATAAATTCAAATGTTGCATATATCTTCCAAATAAATTATTTCCAAAAATATTGTGTAAGTTCCTAAATTTCTGATGATTTGAATATTATGTTAGTAACTACATTGGAGATTGTTTCAAATTTGAAATAATAAATATATGCAATTATTGTCGATCTAATAAATACATTTGTAAAAATGGAAATTGGTTTGAAGAAATTGTTGTATAATTAGATAATTATTTAATGGTAATTGCAATTTAGGTAATATTCTTTAAGATTCAGAATCTTAACTTAATGATTGACATTTAAACGATTATACATATATAGTTAGTTGTTTAAAATCGCATTATATGGAATGAAATTTTTGTTGATTGAATATCTTTATTAGGGAATATTAGGAAATCAAATATTGTTGAATTGAATTTTCGGGTCAAAATCAGTTAGAGATTTTCGGGGATTTAATGTAGGGAATAAATGTCGTTTGGATTTAATGTAGGGATTATCAAATAAGGAATTATCCGATTCAAAAAATTTGGATCAAAAAAATAAATATGGAAGGATCTGAATCAAAGATTTCCGGGTCAAAATCAATTAAAACCCGACCCGATTAGCTTTAGCAAATTTGTACTTCAAAAATGTTAAGTAGATTATAACTTATTTTTTTTTATAAAGGGTTTTAAGGAAACTGAATATATTCTCAACGATTTTAGGGAAACTGAATATATTCTCAAAGATTACGAATTGCTTGAATACGAATTTATATCTAAACAAAATATAACAACCTAATATCTTTAAGATCTTTATACCCGTTTTTCGTTATTTGACCCATTTTTTAATTAATTTGTTAATGTTAGTGACATAGAATTAAAATGATTATGATTAGAGATCTCTAATGGCATATATTATAATTTCTTACAAAATTAACGTTACGACTTATAGGATGTACTTCCCAAATAATAGTATATGATTTGCCTTATTAGTTTGAATTGATTTTATTATTTACGAAATCTCCCTAATTAATTAATTACAAAATTATGTGATTATATTATTTAGGTAGTATAATTAAACCCGTCTGATGACCCAATGACCCGCGTAATTAAAAAATGAATATACTACCTAAACAATATAATCAACTGAAGTCAGAAACAACGATTTAGGAAACTGAAAATATTGTATTGTTTAGCTTAATCAAAAACAACGAAATTGATAATAACAGATGTTTAGGAAACTGAAAATATTGTCAAAGATGATAACAGATGTTTAGGAAACTGAAAATATTGTCAAAGATTACGAATTGTTGTTGAAAATAAATTTTGTTTAGATATAAGAACGTAGACACATTTTCAATTTTTAGTAACATTTTCAAAAAATAGAGAATTATATAACATTTTCAATTTATATAACATTTTCGAACTATATGAGTATTATAATTCAAAATTGCATTTTTTATTTTTTATAAATTGGATTGATATAAAATGTTTTCAATGATATATCATTTTCATTAACATTTTCAATGACATTTTTTATAAGATGTTCGAATAATGGATTACTATATAATATTTTGAATAACATTTTCAATTTTCAATAACATTTTTGAATAATATATTAGTATATAATATTTTTATATATTATATAAATAAAATTTTTTATGTATTATATAACATTTTTATGTATTATATAACATTTTTATGTATTATGTAATCTCGAATATTGATTAGTATATAACATTCTAGAATTATATTAATTATGTATTATATAAACAAAATCTTTTAATATCTTTAAACCCGTTGACCCGTTAATATATATTTTTTTGGGTAAGGACCCGTTAATATATATTAGTGACATGGAATAAATTTTATGATTAGAATTATATAATGGCATATATTGTAATTTCTTACAAAATTTAAGTTATGATCCTTAGGATGTACTTCCCAAATATTAGTATAGGATATATTTTTTTAATGTGTGAGAACTCCATCCAGATATCTTTGATGGAGGTACTCTAAGATTGTAGTTGTAACAAATCTAACCAAAAGTATTTATTTGATGAGATTTTTTTTCTCAGTTGAGACAAAAAGGTTTTCTCTTTGTTTCTTAACATTAGACTTTTGGTTTAGGAGACTTGTTTTCGAATGTTGTGGGAGACTTAACGCGATAAACTTTAATTATTCAGCATGGCATATTTTAGTACTATGTTGTGTTAAATTTCATCTTATTTGTGTCAATTTTATTCAACCTCATACGATATATATGATTTTAGTGTGACATATTAAGTTTGAGATTAGTTTTTTTTTTCCTCGTACACCATCAATATTTAGAATATACGCGCGTATACGATACCTAGGCCTCACTTTTCTAGAGATTAATTCAAATTGATTCCGAGATGTCGACAACGGCTACTTGAATGTCACAGCACGTAAAATTAAAGCCACCAACGCCATTGGTTGGACTAGTAAATTAAACAAAGAAAAAAACCTAAACTATTTGTGATAGGCATAGAGTTATCGGTAATACGATTGGGAGGCCTAATCCTTGGCTAGTCGTGGAGTTTGCATGTACCATCTTTATAAAGAATATATATACTTGTACCGCTTTAATTAAAAGTGTTGATTGTTTTTGATCGGTTAAAAAAGCTGCTAATTCTTACAATTTGTTAGGAGATCTCGGAGATTACGAGATCGATTTGAAAAAAAAACATTTGTAGAACATTTTCTTATTGTTAAATAAGTATATTTCTAATTATCATAATATAAAGAAGTTGCTAATCAAGTTATAATTTTGTATAAATAAGCTATTAAGCTAATCAATAAAAGTGAGAGAAACTATTATACTACTAAAATTTCCTCTAAATTTATCAAAATTTTCAAATTTCAAGACCATCGTATAATCAAGTGATAAGGTCATCGTCCTGGTCGAAGCACAAAATAGAGTACTCACCACATTTCGGTAAATAGATCCCAATCATTAAATAATTTATTGATGCTTACACGATCGAATCTGTCAGTTTATGTGTCAGTTGGACTATTTGCTATATATTAAACCTCAACTTGTTTATGTACTTCCAAATTAATTTGCATATATTCTTATCAAACTCTCCTGATCATTTCCCATTTTTCTCATAAAATGAACGTGCTGCCGTGCTGCTATATAATAAATATATACGTAATGTATACATGGCACACACTCACACCTGGTAGACCAATAATAAAGGGTTTCTTTTAGTTATAAGTGACACAATAATTTTATGCATGGGTTAAGAAACGCGACTATAATACCAAAAGTTAATTTGGATCCATATAGGCCTAAGTTTAATAATTCAATGTCAAAATTAGAAAGGTCCATGTTGTGAAAACGCTACACTCGGATGGGAAATTGCAGGAGAAGAATCCGAAGGCAAAGGCCGTATAAGATACATGCATGTCTTGGACAAGCTGTCTCTAGTTAAAACATTAATTCATATTTGTTGTAGTCATAAAAAGAAAACAAAAAACGTATGAATGTATTGTTTTCGTTTTCATAAATATAAATCAGATTTGGGTTAAGAAGGCCCAACTGAAGCCCATAAATGAATCCATCGGATGGGATATTATTATAAATGTATCGCCTGGAATGGATCCCAAAGCATCACCACGACGAAGACGAGAACAATATGACGACGGAGGAGGAGTCTCTTTCGCCGGGGGAGGAGGGTTACAGTGTACAGAGAGACTTTTGGCGTCAAGCGGCGAAATCCGATGTAATTCCTTCATCTTCTTAATTATTTGTTATCTATGATTGTGATTTGTTCCTTTTGTTTCACAAAATTAACCCTAAACCTGAGTTCTTATTGGCTTCTAGACAACAATTAGAGGAAATTGATCGCTTTTAGGGTTGTTTATAAGGACTGATAGATTTTTTTTTGCTGGTGGATCTTTAGGGTTTCGATTTAGAGAACGTTAAACGACCACCAGGTATGAATGGAGTGGTCATTGGACTGATTCCCTATTACTGTCAACTTTATAACCGTTATCCATATCGTATCTTGGTCGACCTTTTTGCTAAGGTTGGGCTTCATCGTTACAATTTGTTCAAGGTAAAATATTTAAACTCTTTGTCTCCTCTAGTTGGTATGTTATAAATATATGCTCTGTTATATATACCACATTGATTGATTCGATTTTCTTCCTTCATCTGTCAGGGAACAAGCTTCGAGGTCGCTGCCCTAATAAAATTCAACATGTTACAGAACTATATGTCCTCTTTCTACATGACTCTGCTTGCACATGATCCCGATCCAGCTGCTAGCTCATTGGAGAAAACCTTTCAGGTTCGAGTTGATGAACAAGATTATGGCACTTTGCATATAACGTGCTCCATTGCTAGGATTAAAGCCGAAGGTAACTTGCTTGTGGTGCATTATTTTCCTTATATTTTTTTTAATAAAATTTCACTTAGCTTGCTGATTAATAATGAATGTTGCATAGTGTCCACCGAAACGCCCTTCATACCTCACTTTCAAGGTGGCGCACGGGCGTATGGTATCTTCAAAGGTGAATTGCCTGATTGGCCCTCAGATGATGCTTTCAATGACGGAAAACGATTTTACCTGGTAAGATGCCCTATATATATTATGCAACAACACTAAATTAAGTTTCTTTTTTAGTGCTAGCTAGCTCATGATCAATTAAGCTAGCAGTGATATGTTGTTATTGCTTTTGCAGGTAAAGGAATCAGAGTGGCAATCCACTGATTGGATTTCTATGTATTTGGAACTTGTAATTACTACAACTGATAGGTCGATCACTGAAGTAAGTTTTACATATATATCAATTACTGACATACCACTGGCACTACTGGTAATAATAATGAACTCCAAAATTGTAGACGCGTCAGAAGACCGAAGTTCTGTCCCAGTTGGAGATTGTGAAAGTGGCGATAGAAACTGCTAATGAAGATGTGGAGCCGCCGAATGAGAGACTCAAGGCCAAAAGTGCACATGTCTACATAACGTTTAAGGGCTTGGCAGAGCCTCGAGCCCCTCGGCGGGTTTTTGAGAATGGTGAGCATGTTGAACGCCAAGCTATAGTTAGAAGAGTCATGGATCACACAGGATACTTGACTCTCAAGGGTAAGCTTTGTGGTGGTGAATATATCAAAAAGCGTTCTCTGGCTCTCAAGAGTGGAGAAGAGTCCCAGGATTGTAAAAAGCAAGCTCGTGTCGGCTAGGCGTTTGTATACATGGGCGTCTGCGTAATGTTAAGACCCATTTTGAAAATGTGGATCAGATAATAAACTAAGCTATTTTGTGCGTTTGGATTCTTTGATTTTTGGTTTCTTTTAAGTGTGTTACGCTTTTTTTCTTTTTAATACAATAATAAGTTAACTTATCTGCACTGCATATTTATCAATAGGAGGATCATATAATTTTCCTTTTCATTTCCCATTTTAGTCCTAAACCAATCCCTACATCTGAACCAGAACCCAGGAATCACAACCATTGAAACACCTGCACGTCAAGGAAGATATCATAACGACCAATTGAAAACCCAAAGAGATTGCATCGAGATTAATTTGTTTATCAAGTGATAATAAGGAGCCTGAATGCCAACAAAAACTTGTACGGGCAGAAAGACAAAAATACTCTATTATACCAATAGTGGCAGAGAGAATCCTTTGAGAGAAAATGACCAGTAGCCTCTACAACGGCCAACACCACCCTATGAGAATACTTCAAATTAATTGATTTGTTCAGAAACTGATGAATCTTTGCAGGTCGATTTCCTATGTGAAAAAATACAAATCATAAGCAAGTTTTAAGCCACAGAGGAAAAGTTAAAAAAAAAGATTTGCTCATTCAGACACAGATCATAACTGAGCATGCCATAAAATGAACGCAAAACCTATAGAGACGCCAAGGAACTAACCAGATTGTGCTGACATGATCCTAAGTCAACACCGAGAAGATCCTAAAGGAAATCTGCACCAGATGAGCTAGGTGCAGCCACTATATCCTCAGAATCCAGGTCAACAAGTGGAGCTGCGGCAACACCATTTGGAGTACTAACTGAAGGCTTGAACATTGTTGAAACTGATGCAAGCAACGAGCTTACATCACATTCCGTTACCTGTTCAAGGCAGTTAACTAGTCATTGCACGCTTTTTTTTTTTAAGTCAAAGAGAAATCCCAAAAACCAAGAGCATCTGCATAATTAAAAATACATTGTTAGGATTGCAAGTGTGATTCTCACCGTTTTTGGATCTTCAATACCAAGCATGCCCACATTGTTAACCAACAGATCACCATATTCCCCAATGCACGATATCGCCACTCGCACAAGGGTATCCTGGTGGAGACCTCAAAGACCAATATTACGAAATATTCTACTGAGGACTGCAATCAATCAAACATAAGAAAAGAAAGAGCTACCTGTTCAGAATATGTTGATAACAAATCAATAGATGGTGTGCTGTTTTGTGCAGGAGGTGTTCCAATTGATAGAATATCCAGCAACAGATCTGTGCCAGCTTTTGGAGCCTGGGTTGCACCTGAATCATTGCATAAAAAAGGAAGACCAAATATGAATTATTCTCTTGCAAGGTAATAGAGGAAAAAAAAATTAAACGATTGTTCATTCAGAGACAAATAGCAAATGAGCACGCCATATGAACGCAACAGTTGTAGAAACGCCAAAGAACTCACCAGATTGTGATGACGATGATCCTAAGTCTACACCGAGAAGACCCTGAAAGAAATCTGCACCAGATGAACTATGTGCAGCCAGGATATCGTCAGAATCCAGCTCTAGCAAGTCCACAGCAGGTTTCTCACCACCATTTGGAAGGCTAACTGAAGTCTTAGCCATTGATGCAGGAAAAGAGCCAGCCCTCCTCACATTGAAAGTAGCCTCATCCAGTACCCGCATTCTCTCAACCAGAGAAGTCCTGTATGCACACAGACCTTTCTCATGAGCTTTGAGGGAGAGAGAATATGAAAAACTTACACTAGAAGATGGATGAGGAAGAGAGGAACAAGGGATTTCATTAACCACCTGATATTTTTATGCCGGCCAACTATATAATTGTACTCATTAGCTCTCTGCTGCATTTCAAGGAGAAGGCTTCCTTTCTGCTTCACAATTATGTCTTTAATTCTCCTGCCATTGAATTTTAGAAAACTGTTTAATTACCAAAAAGAGAGTTAAGGACAGGATGTACAGGTATAATATACTTCTAATCCTTTTTCAGAAGGTAACGCGCAACAGTTTCTTGTAGACAACCAAAATTCATAATATATATACTCAGTGCGCATATGCATCTTGTGTAGAGTTGAAAATGGATAAGTGCAGATATCAGACGAACGAGTTATGATAAAAACAGATAGCACAACGAGGTTGAACAAACTTGAACATACTCTGAAATAGTAGGAAAGCGGGATGACAGCTTCAGTAGAGCAACCAATGCCATCGCTTTTGTAGCCGAGTCTGAGTTATGGCGAGTAATGGCATCCTCGATAACGTCCACTGCATCAGATTCCATTACCTGCTCAAGGCAGTCAAATACTCATTGCACATTTTTTTAAAGCCAGCAAGAAATCCCAGGAAGCAAAAGCAGCAAATAATGAATTAAGATTGCCATTGTGATAGAAGCATCTGGGTCCTATATTGTTATGGAAGCAGAAACCAAATTAGCATTTTTTATTTCCCTAAGACATCTATTACTTAGCAGTTAACATTGTATAGAATATTTTCCTGGTAGTACTAAACACAATACCTTAACACATTCCAAAATTGTAACTCGGTGCCTTTGCACTGCTTGATCATCGAAAGTGATTGCTTTCATCAGCATGTTTAATGCAACATATCTGAGAGAAAGAAAGTAAGAATTTCATAAGGGAATGCAGCGTTTTTGAGAGAAACAAAATCAAGATTAGAAAAGGAAACGCTGGTTGGTATGAAGAGCATAGTGTGGTTCATAGAGTCAAGAAAGTCCAAAGAAAGATGATTGACGGAAGAAAAATACAAGCAAGGTAGTTCAATTATAAACATATAATACCATATGACTATATCAAATAAAAAATATGATTATATCAAATGAAAAATGAGGTAAAGGGGGTTGAACCTGATGTTATTGTCGCGGTTAGATAAGAATCTTCCCAAGATATTGATAGCAAGCACACGCAAGCTATTGGTGTCTTCAATGGCCATGATTGTTTCAACACACTCATAGAGTACCGCATTCCCTGCGTTTTTGTTTTTAATAGCTCTCTGCTGCATTTCAAGGAGAAGGCTTCCTTTCTGCTTCACAATTATGTCTTTAATTCTCCTGCCATTGAATTTTAGAGAACTGTTTAATTACCAAAAGAGAGTTGAGGACAGGATGTACATGTATAACAAATTTCTGATGCTTTTTCAGAAGGTAAACACGCTAGAGTTTCTGGTAGACAGCCCAAATTCATTATTTATAAACTTAGTGCATGTTTAGAGTTGAAAATGGATACGTGCAGATATTAGATGAACGAGTTGAGATAAAAACAAATAGCACAACGAGGTTGAACATACTCTGAAATAGAAGGAAAGCCAGATGACAGCTTCAGTAGAGCAACCAATTCCATCGCTTTTGTAGTCGAATCTGAGTTATGGCGAATAATGGCATCCTCGATAATATCCACTGCATCAGATTCCTTTACCTGCTACTCATAGCAGTCAGTTAGTCATTGCATATTTTTTGAAGCCAACAATAATACCCAAAAAGCATCTGCATATTAATCATGGAGCAAACGATGAAGTGAGAATTGCCACAGTGATGCTCACCATTGTTGGATCTTCAGTACGACTTCTTTTTGGTTTAGGAGTATATTTCTCTTCGGGTTCTTCTTTTCGATCTTTTTCTGGTTTCTCCTTTGACATTTTTTCAGTATCTTTTGTATCTTTATCTTGTTCTTCTTCATCCCCACTCTCTGCATCCTCTTTGTCTTTTTCATCGGCCTCAACCATCTCAACGATCATGAAATTGGAAAGGAGATAGGTTGGCTTTCTTGAAGCTCGAACAAAGTCGCTTCCCAGATCGGATGCACCAACAGTAATGTACTGGACTTCTAGAGATACGTACGCATATCCACAATCAGCCACTTCCTCCCCGTTGCTCATTTTGCAAACAGCAACCCACTCTTGACCCATTTTTTTAATCTCTTCTATCACTACAGCGTGATATCCGACGAACCAACTATTTCGTGACATTGGACCTCTGTAAATAAACTCACCTGGTGTCATCAATCCAGTGTAATGAAGCAAATCTGCCCCCACTGACTGCTGCTTTTGAAGCGTCTGCACAACATCCTTCCAAGTGTGGATTTTTCGAGAACTTATAAGCTTTCTTCTTTCCATGTCAGGTTCCTCTGCACTTGGTGGATGATGATCTGTACAAAGAAATTTGCTCACAAGTTCTCTTGGAACTCCATAAGATTGAACGTGGCATAAAGCTTTCTCTATATCGCCTCCATAGCAGTGATGTACACGACCTTCCTTATCCCGTTCTTGAGCTCTCTCATCCTTTCCAAGTTTTGCAGGATCGCAAAACGCACAGAGATACCAAGGACAAAGAGGAAGCCACCTTTTTTCCCACTTTCGTACCAACCTCTGGCAACTGACTAGATCAGAGGCTGCGTAGATCCAGCAGAGAAGGTGATAAAATTGATGTCTAACCTCCCCCGATATACCCTTTTTCCCAGCGTTAGTTAGGAATATGTCCTATATATTATATGAATCAAAAAAGATTTAGGTAAAGGTGGGAACATATATTGGGAATATGATTAGATCTTCGCAAAATAAGAGTTTAAAATGATTACCGGTTTTCTCATTTGATAACTGAGCATAGCGATGCAGCCATTGTCATTTAACACACATGCACCTCTTCGATTACCAGAAACTTCTTGACAATTTGAATAACCCAGAATATTTTGAACTTGCTTCTCGCCTAGATTGCATATTCCTGTTTCATCTAGGACTAGCCTACAATCCTTTGAAACTGAGTCAAGCGCGTCAGACCTTTTAGGGACTCTCTGGCATGAGTTGTCTCTGAGAATCAGATAAAATAAAAGAAGTAGATGAGTCATGTGAGAAGAAAAAGAGAACTCACCATGTTGACAATAAATTGGGTTTATACCTATATGATGTTAACAATGCCTTCTTAGCTTCTTTCCAAGAAAGTTTGACAAAGCCATGCTTTTTTTTCTTCAATAACTGTAACATGCATAGACTGTTAGATTTGTACAAGTAGCTTCATAAATAATCAGATTTATAGGATACCTATATAAAAAGGGAAGAAAAGATGAAAAAGATATGGCTATGTTTGCAACCTTTGTAATGGCCAGTACGTTATTGCAGCTCCGAAGCTCAGTTTTCGTACTTTGCCTCCTTGTTTCGTACTTGAACTTAAGTTGCATCGCGTATACATCTTTCTCACTAAATCTCTCAGCTTCCAAAACCTTTTCATCATCCTTAGGCAAGGTTGTGGCTAGTATCTTCATTCTTGCCCGAGTTATAGATCTAACACAATCCAATCTGCAACAACATTATTCTTTTATTAATGCAGGATGTTGAAGCAAAATACCAATAACAAATTCTTATAAGAAGAAAATAGAATGTCACAGTAATAAAATTCACATTACCTCAGCATGAATTCTTTGTTGCAACATTGTGTTGCTGCAGCTGGAGCCTATACATTAAACAGAAACACATAAGTTACAAGAAAGACAAAGAGACTTGGCCAAACAACTAAATATAGTTAAAAAAAAAAAACTAAATATAGTTAGAAAACAACCTTAATGGCTAATTGATGGAGCACATATAATAGGCACTCAATATATGTGATACTTATGAATTCCTCCATCTTTGTCTCGGGTATGTATTTCTACGAGAAAATGACAACAGTCAATAATTGATAATCAATAAATTACATAAGTCCATAAATATGTAAAAGAAATGTATCAGTTATGGTTAAAGTCACCTTTAAGAGGACAACTATTGAGGGAATCATCTGGCCTGCTGCTTCATTTGTTGTGAAAGATGAAATCTCAGCAAGAGCTCTGAGAAAATCAAGCTTCCTATGCTCTGACAGCTAGTAATAAAAGGATTTGGTATAGATTATGATTATAACTAAATGAGCTCATGTCTGAAGCAATAATATAGATTTTACTATTATAAAAAGGACGAAGATAGCCAAGGGACAGTATTATGTAAGAACAAAAAGAGTTGCATGCAAGTTGCATAGTAATTAAGAATTGACTTCCTGCCCTAAACGCCATTAACTAGTAGTCTATTCCTACTATGCCCAAGAGAATACTAAGAGATCATGTACAGACAAAATTATTGTCTCAAGCACGTTAACAGAAAATAAAATATTAAGATATGTTGTACCTTGTCAAAATCATGCAAGATATGGTGACGGTTCACGAACTCAAAATACTTGCTCCTTGGAGCACCTCTCTATTAAAAAGAAGACAGTTCGTAAGATTTATGGTTCTCAAAGCATCTTTTTAACTATTTGACATCCAAAAGTGGTATGCAACAATAAATCTGAGTCCATACCGCAAAGAATGGAACAGCCATTAGCAGGCATGATATAAACCTGTCAACATAGTCTGCATCTGAAACCTACAGGGAAAGTAATATTTGGTGGACATCAGAAGTAGTTTGGGGGCACAACAATGAAACTATCTAAATGAAAGCTTCAGAAACCATGACGTTTTGAATTCAGAAACTAATAGTTTGGGAGCGTCACATGAAATACTCACATCAAATGTATCCAAACCAGCCTTTACTTCAAAATATTCTGCAAGTCGTTTCAGTTCTGCTTCACTTTCCTTTTGTAGGCTCTGCAAACATGGGAAGAAAATCAGAAAATGGCCACGGAAAGATTTACATATGTAAAGAAACAAAGAAGAACATATGAATTCCAAACCTTTTCTAGTATATCCGATATACGTCTTTTCGTTAAATTGGTTATATATAATGCCAATTCATTAAATGACGGTCTCTCCTTAAAATAGGGCACCTACATGAGTACATATTGTTAAAAATTTCAATTCATTTAGCAGAACATTTCGTACCAAGTTAAACAGAGAGCTAGCCTCAAAAATAGAGAAAATAAAACAAAAAAGATAAAGAAAAGACTCTAACCTTTAAATCAGCAAGATGCTTCAACATTGCAGTCAAAGATGCTACACCAAGAAAGTAAGAAATGACACATAAGTGGATGCTATGATGCTCACCCTTTCATACAATGAAGATGAATGCAGAAGAAATCAAACTACCTTCTTTATCTAGATGAAACATCGCCATAAAAACCTCTTGCACAGCATCAGACTCCACCGGTTTCTCTATTTTGATCATATGAGTCAAATGGTGAAAGCAGAATAAGTAAATTAAGGATAAATAACCAAAATAACCAAAGTACCAGTATTTAGGTATTTGACAAGAACATCAATGATCTTAGATCTAAGCTCAGGTTGATGTTTGCATATGAGCTCGATGTCGCAGATAGATTTAACCTACAAACAAGAAGTTATATAATCTTAGATAAATCCATTAACAATATCAAAACCAGACTACGAATTGTGCTCCAAATAGGAAAAAATTGATCCTTGACTCATCTCAAACTCACCTCAGAATCTATAACTCAATTCAAATTAAACACATGGAAACAAACACAGAGAACCGCAAACTCATCTCAGATTAAAACACATCGAAGCAAACACAGAGAGCACACCTCAGATTTTCCCAAGAGTTTTTCAAGCTCAAGCTTGTGGAGAAGTTTGTTCACTTCCGGATTTGACATGACTGAAAGTTGAAGTTTGTCTTTGCCGCCGGCTCTTGTATCTTCTCAGGTGAACCGGTTTTAACACCGGACTTTCTCACTCTCCATCTCACTCTAAATGTCCTTCGCTGGCTCTCTCTCTGTCTTTCTCACCGCCTGGAACTTTCTAAATTAGAATGATAAGGGTAAAATCGTCTGCACAGCTGTATTTCTCAGCTATTTAAGTACCAACGTCATATGTTTAATTTAAGGCTCCATTTTGGTTACTAGACAAATTAACTATTCAAAAATAATTGTTCCTCACCAAAAAAAAAAAATCAATTCTTTTTCACATTTATCCACTGTTTTCACGTTCGACCCGATCTGTCTGGTCTAACTGGTTAATTCGTGATCTCGACACTTCTTAGATTTAGTGCTAATATCCGATAATTTCAAAACTAGAAAATCCACTGAAATATGCCATTAACCAATGACCTGATGAACGGTTGAACCGGCCGGGTATCCATTCAAAAAATTATATTTGATTTTGGAATAAAATATAAAGTTTTAAACTTTTATTGTATTCACTATTCAGTTATTTTTAGAACTTTTCAGTTTTTCATATTAATTATCCTACTATCTTGGTATTTTTTACAATTTTAGTTGAATTTAAAAATTTTAATCTTTAAGATTATTGTTAAACTTCTTTTTTTTTTTTTGTATGAATGTAAAATTTATTCACAAAAAAAGACGGTTTTACAATAAATGCAACATCAAGCTGAAAAAATCTGAGGTTTTGAGAGGGATTATAAAGAAGGGAAAACTAGCGACTATGGGTTTGGAACCAATATCGCAGTCCGCCTTCATAAGTGGGTGGGCCCGTCGTAATTAAGGTGCTCAGCCGGTTACGAACGTTCTTGTCGATCAGTTTTGCTAGCATGGATGCTGGGGTTGGTGACTCGCCGTGTCGTCTCCCATTCCGTTCTCGCCATAGACTGTGGATAGATATCGTGTTTGCTTCTGATATCGGTCTTAGTCCCAGCCCACCTTCCTTAATTGGCTTACAAACATCCAACCATGCCACTTTTGCCTTCCTTGAGTTGAGTTCTACACCAGACCACAAAAAAGCAGAGAAAAGACTTTCAAGTTCTTTAATACACTTACTTGGCAGCCTAAAAGCTGAGAGCCAAAAGTTAGTGATGCTTGATAGGACAGATTTGATCAGTTGTAGTCTACCCGCGAAAGATAAGAACCGACCCGTCCAAGAGGTGATGCGATTTCTTATTTTCTCAATGAGGGGTAGATAATCGGAGCGAGTCATACTTTTAGTGAGAAGAGGGAGACCGAGATACCGCACTGGAAGAGTTCCCATTTCAAATGGAAAACGCTGGAGTATATCTTCTTGATGAGTAGATGAGAAACCAACCATGAACAAGGTTGATTTCTCTAGGCTGATTCTGAGTCCCGAGGCATCTGCAAACTTATTAAAAACTTGTAGAATACCCGCTATTGATCGTACACTCCCATCTGAAAAAACCAAAATATCATCCGCAAAGCACAAGTGAGTTAGTCCCATGCTTTTACACCTAGGATGGTAACCAATTTTCTGATCCACTGCCGCTTTATCCAGCATTCTAGAGAGAGCGTTCATGCAAATGACGAAAAGATATGGAGAAAGAGAGCATCCTTGTCTTAAACCCCTTTTGCTTTGAAAAAAACCCAGCCAACTCCCCATTGACTTGAATAGAGAACGAAGCAGTGCCAATACAGAGCTCAATCCAGCGAATAAAACTTTCCGGAAGATTCATGGCTCTTAGAGCCGTCAGCAAGAAAGGCCATTGCACCGTATCAAAAGCCTTTGATATGTCGATCTTAACAACACACCTTTTAGAGACTGAAGCTTTATGGTAATCCTTGACTAATTCTGAAGCTAACAACAGATTTTCCATCATAAGACGATCCTTAATAAACGCAGACTGGTTTGGGGCTATTGATGCAGGGAGAATTTTCTTCAATCTGTTAGCAAGAATTTTCGATATTACCTTATACATCACATTGCAGCATGATATGGGACGATAATCTTTCATCTCTATAGCTTCATTCTTTTTTGGAATAAGGGCCAGAATTGTGGTATTAACTCCTTTAGGCAAGAAAGTCATCATGAAAAAAGACTGAATTGCAGTGACAAAGTCTTTCCCCAGGATAGGCCATGTTAACTTGAAGAACTCAGCCGTGTAACCATCGGGACCAGGGGCTTTATTTCCCGGCATCTTGAACAACACAGTTCGAATCTCTTCCTCTGTAACAGGACTCACCAACGTGTCCTGTTCTGATAAAGAACATCGAAAATCCAACAATTCTTTAATCTGGTCCGCAGGGACACCCTCATAGTCCGCTGGTTCGTGTGATAAAAACTCCTCAAAGAACCTCACAGCTTCAGTCTTAAGATCTTCTTGTGTTGTAGCTACAGACCCGTCTTGGCATTTTATCTCTCTAATAGCATTCTTGGCCAATCTTGCTTTGACTGCATTGTGAAAATACTTGTTATTTCTATCTCCCACATTAAGCCAATGAAGCTTTGATTTCTGTTTCAGAAAACCTTCTTCAAGTACTGCTACATGATCCCATATCTTATAAGCCTCGGCTTCCTCCTCCATCAAAGCCGAAGTAGGATTTTCAAGTGTGGCTTGTTGCTTGTCACATAGAACCTCATATGCTGCATCAACTCTAGTCGACAGCTGGTGTAGTTTTCTACGTCCCAAAGACCGCAAAATTGGCTTAAGGGACTTAAGTTTTTTAGAAAATCTGAAAATAGCAGAGGTGGAATGATAAAGAACACTTGTACTATCCCAGACCTCTTGAACTGTAGGCAGGAAATCTGGCAATGACGCGATGACATTTGAAAATTTGAAAGGACCACGCGGACGACTAGTAGCTGCTGCTATTTTAATCTGACATCGAAGATGATCCGAACAACCGCCAGGTTCAAACACACTATAGGATTCAGGAAATAATCGAGTCCACTCCTCATTAACCAAAACACGATCCAATTTTTTGCATATCAGCTCTTCCTCCCGCTTGTTACACCAAGTGAACTGAGGGCCGTGAGAGCTCATGTCCATAAGAGAATAATACCTCACCATTGCTTGAAAATCCCGCATCCCATAAGAAATAGAAGGAGAGTTCTCATAGTTTGAATGCTCTTCACCGTCGAGAATTTCATTGAAATCTCCCATGATGAGCCAAGGTTTATTCTGAATCAGTGGAGTATCAAAATGATATTTAAGATCTTCCCACAGCTCTTTCCTATCCTCTGGTAGGTTAGCTGCATAAACAAAAGAGACAAAAATCTCCTCTGAGGCACCATCCATCAAAACTGAACATGTTACAAGCTGACCACTCTTGTAGACCGGAGTGACTCGAACATTATTTCTCCAAACTACCCATATGCGGCCCAAACTATTGAATTCATAATTAGTAATAGAAGACCAATCTCGAAAAACAGAGGACAGAATACGAGAAGCCCTGGTTTCTTGTACTCGCGTTTCCAAAAGACACCCAAATTGCAAATTTTCTTCATGTAACCAGTCACTTACTACGTAATGTTTTGTTGATTTATTGAAACCGCGCACATTCCAGAAAAAGCAAGACATTAATGATGTTTTTTGGAGGTTCTTTTGCTCGATACGCTAGGGCGAGCCTTAGCTTGTTGAGAAAAAGATTCCGATGTAGCTTTCTGTGAATTCTTTGTTTGACGGGTAGCTCGGACCGAGCTTGCTTTCTCTACTTCTGTGATGGCCTGCGTCAAACTTGCATGAGTGTTAACACCATTCTCGACATTTTTGTCTAGACTTACCTTACCTTCTGCCACTTCCCCTTCGATGACTGCATCATTTAGCTTGGGCTCTTCAATATTATCTAGAACAGAGAATCGAGAAGCAGAGAGAATAGTAACTTGACCATAAGCTAGTGAGCTTTGAACCTTCTCATTACTCTTACAACCTTTCCCTGGGGAAACTAAGGACCAACCATCCTTATCAGCACCTTGTGTTATATTATCTTGCTCCTCATGTGTCTCAGCGGCTCTGTTTTGCTGCACTGCATTCGATACGGCCAACGTAGGTGTTTGCACCTCTTGCACCTCAACTGGAACAGAGGTCTCTGTTTTTTCAGAATCATTTTCTGCTACCAGCTCACCTTCTTCTAAGTCATCTGCCTTTACCTTCACGGGAGACGCTTTTTTGGTCACACAAACATCCTCCGTGTGGCCCCATTTGCTGCACCTTGAGCATCGAGGAGGGAGCCAAGGATAAACAAATTCCACGGTGACCTCCTCCACTTGATTCAACTTGAAGCAGAATTTTTGTGGGAGAGACTTTGTTAAATTTACTTCAACGAACACCTTTGCCTCTTCAAAGTTGCTACATAATTCTGTTTCCGGATGAAGTCGAATGGGATCTCCTATTGGACTAGAAAGAAACCCGAGACCCTCCCATGAATACATTGAGTGAGGAACATTTTTCAAAGTGACCCATAAAGGCATTGTCGAGACTTCAGGCTGAGCTTCTTCTGGGATTGGAGACCATTTTGCAAGGATCATGGGAAGCCCTGCAATATTCCACATACCCCTACGCAGTACTCTCAATCTGGTTGCTTGATCTCGAATTCGGAACTTGACTGAAGTGGTGTTATTCTCATACACATCGATTCGGACTGTTTTATCTCCAAGAGACCATATTTTGTTAACAATAACATGGATCTTAGCGACGTGGGGAGCAGTAGACGGAAATCTACCAACAAGAAAATCTTCCCATAGGGGAACGGAATCACTGATAACTGCTGAAGGAACCTCAATCGTTGGAATACCATCAACCAAACTGACTTGAAACTCATGTTTTTTAAGTGATGGACGCTTATTCACTGCTGCTGCATACGAAAGTTGCTTGGATTGAATAGGAGAGGAATCTCCCGGAGGAGACACGGAGCTTGCCGGCTCAGACATCGGATCCACCGGTGGTGGTCGCCGCCTAAACCCTAGCGTGATGGAAAAGCTTCAGAAACCCTAATCGTCTTACCAGTCGCCTTCTCTGATGACGTGTCCTTTTCTCTCTCTTAATTAATTATCCTCGAATCATTATTACTTTCCTTTGTTAAACTTCATATTTTGTTAAACATGA